CACATGGCAAGATTCTACTTTATTATAAGGCTATATTAAATACAAACTTCCCGATAATGCCATTTTTAACTGCTTGTTTCGTTCTCTGAGCAATAAGCCACTGGGAGCTCTTGCTTCTCTTGTCTACTTGTTTCCTAGGCAGCAACTTTTCCCTGTTCCCCAAAGTTGTCCACACATTCCATTACATCTACTGAGACAAAAAGACATCAGAAGTACTAAAAAAAAAAAAAATGCAATGATCTCCAGAGTAGCGTTTGTTGATTGCAATGCCTATCTCTATTTATAAATTATTCCATAAACATTTGATAAACTATGCAGATTTAACAATCCAAAAAGGATTGTATCCCAGCCTTTTGCAATCTGGTAAACTACAAAGGGTGGATTTCAGCCTTCCTACTTCCTAGTCGGGATGACCAAATGGGGATCTTGATTCAGGGAATCAATGGAATGAGCTGAAGAAGACTTTAATTGTAACGAATGAACATTTTGTGGAATATGGTAGCAGCATCATAACAAGTCAGCATATCAGATTCACGTACATTAACAAAATTAATCATACAATCTATTCCACTAACTAAAATACAGCCATACTAATGAGTTGTATTTAATTATCAGGAGTTATAGTTATATCATTCTCCTCTGAATTACTGGAAACATGTAATCCTTTGAGGGATTAAATATTATATTAATATATTCTCTGGGATGTTACTGTTCTGCCTTTTTTAAGGCAGAGAAACGCAAACAAGGATTTGGTGATGTATTTATATCTCACATTTAATATTAATATTCTTTTAATTTAAATTGCTTTAGAAACTTATTTTTAAACATAAAGTACAACATTACATTAAGAAAATGAAAAATGCCAGCTGGGTTGCCCATAAATGACCTTCCAAAATAAAATTAAATAAAAGCTTTCATGTGTGATCAACAGCATTTTAGATTTGTCCAGAGACAAAAGTTTATAATTCTGGCACCACCACTAAAATGACTCTGTCATGTCTACTTCCCATTCCAATGATACTAACAGTGATCTGAAAGCAGTTTCAAATGTCATAATGAAATTCAAGAGCTTCATACGGCCCAAAGTAGTCCTTAAGATAATTGTTAAAATCTTGAATAGCGTGTGGCCAGTTATTATAAGCATTAATGCTTGGAAATGAAATACTACTGTATCATAACTCCTAAATCTCTCCTTTAAAGGCTTTAAAATTCTAAATGAGTTTCCGTAGCTTCATTTGAGAGTGAGGTTTGTAAAAGCCTTCTAGTGAAAGAGTTCCCTGTAGAATTGATCTAAACTCCCTCTTTGCATATATTAAGAGGTCCTTTTTCTCAATTGACCTTCATAGTTGCACATCAATCAGTCCAGCACAGATGATGAATCCTCTGATCAGGATATCAGCATGTCTATTTGCTTTTTTTAGCTTTCTGGAGTGTCAAGTTTACTCAGGCATTCATCCCTTGCAGAAGATGGGTAACTGATAAAGCAACTACGTGTCCGTAGAATAAGTTCTACCTCAAATTATACAAGAGTAAAAGGAGAAAAATACAGGTGGTCCTCACTTAATGACCACTTGTTCAGTGACCATTCGAACTTACGATGACACCAAATGAATGGTACTTATGACTAGTCCTCATAATTAGGTCAGTCACAGCAACCTCCCCAAATATGTGATTCCCATTTGTGACTTCCTTTGCCAACTTCCTACAAGCAAAGTCATTGGGGAAGCTGGCAGATTACAAATGCCAATGACATGACATCCTCACTTAATAACCCATGGTGATTTGTTTAGTGATGGTGTATGGAAGCGCTGGAATTTCTGTCACTAAGCAGCATGTTCACATGATGTTGAGTGTTATGACTGCATTGCATAGCGACAGAAATTCCAGTCACATTTATTATAGTTAAAGGAGGACTACCTATCCTTATATACTCTATTAGAAGGAAAAGTGTAAGCAAAATTTTATTGGCTAGGTTTTGCTGGCCATGACTATAATCACTAGTGATGTTTCACTAATTATTCTCCTTACTCTAAATATTTAGGTTTTTATTAGTTTATTACTGCTTTCCCCCAGTGGCAAGCTGTTCTATGATGTTTATATAGATTTTATTTATGTTACATATTAATTGAGAGCTGCCCAGAGTTGGCTGATAGATGGATGGCTATATAATTTTAAAAAATAAATAAATAAATATAGTATCAAGGGATGCTGGTGAAAAATTACAGGACTGCTTATTTTATATGAAACTGTTCTCATTCTTCCATACCTATCACAAGCTGGAATAAAAACTATTCAGACTGAATATCTCTAACAGAATATTTATTCTTTTTCTTCACCAGGAAGAAACATAAATGCCTTTGAGACAAACAAGAGGCCTTGGATGGTTTTCTTCCCCCTCTGCATATACCACCTAACAGTATTTTCCTCTTTTTAAAACTTTGAGCTACATTTTTACTTGGACAGTCAATTGCCAAAGAAGGTTTAAGAAAATGAAGCACAGGTAGATAGCTGGGCTTATCTCGTTCTTTTGTTGTCAGTAAGTGGAAAATGTCAATTATTTGGAAGAACATATATTAGCATATGGAATTTTTTGTTATGTATTGTTACCACCATTCTTCTTCTTCTTCTTGTGCCATATCCGTTATCGGACGTTGGCGATCATGTTGGCGATCGAACATGGGGAGCCTGGAACCCCCATAGAGCGCGTCCCCAGGTGGCGGATTGGGGGGCCCTATCCATTATGGCTTTTATGCTGTAATGGCAGGTTGGAGGGAATCAAATACCTCCCGTGGACCAACAGGCCTGGTGAGTGGCAGCTGGCTCCCCAGTATCAACTGAAGGCGGAGACCATATTGGTTGGAACAGATTCAGAAGAACAGCACACGGTATGATGGCAGCCACTTGAACAGCATGTGCACAGCGGTGTAGAAAGCAAAGGAAGACTACTACACTATATATTTCCCAGGAAAATCATGTTACCACCATTATAAACCTTTAATATAAATCTTACACTGGTAGAGGATATAAAGTTACTCCATTTATCCCATTAAAACCCATTTAATGTAGGAGATGATAAGCCAAGTATAAAATCTGCCATGTAAAAGGAGACAAAAACGATTAATTTCCAATTTCAGAAAAAATATGACAAGATTATACATTACAACAGATATACTGTTACATGGACTTCATGCAAAAATATCGCTGAAAAGACTAAAGGCCAGAATAAAGAAACTTTATCGAAAAAGCTTAACTGGGAGGAAAAAAGTAAAGGTTGCCTCAATTGATTGACAAACTGCAAAGTTCCCATAAATCAGGTTGCATTATGCAACTTAAGTAAATAGCAAGATTTGCTAACATTAATTTAAGCACTCATAAAAAACAGAAAATGTGTTAAGTATCTCTTGATTGTCAGAACCAAAGGTCACACCAAAAAAACCCTTTAAATCTCAGCAAGGAACGAATTGCCTTTTGCTGTCACTTTGCTTTTCATTCCCTCATATTTATCCATGTTGAAAATGTCCCGCCTGGCATATTCAGTAATGATGGTTGCTACCAAAGAAAACAGAACATGCCAACAAAACCTCTAACACAGCTATTCCCAAAACAGTGTATTTCTATTGTGTCTTAAGATTTATAGGAATTGTTGCTTTCTGCACTTTTATTTTTATTTATATATATTCCCTTTATTATTTTTATAAATAACACAAGATGGTGAAAGAAAGATGCTCTTTCTTTCTCCTATTTTCTCAATAACCACAACCCAGTGAGGTGGGTTGGCTGAGAGATAGTGACTGGCCCAAAGTCACTGAGCCTGGCTTTCATGCCTAAGGTGGGACTAGAATTCACCGACTTCCATTTTCTAGCTTGGTGCCTTAACCACTAGACCAAACTGGCTCTGATATCTGATAATCTAAGATTATCATGCTGGAGAACGTTGCAAGTGAACCTATTAGTCATATAATGAGGCCTGACCTGTAATTTACATAATACTTATTCCCATCAATGCCATCCTTTTTTTAAAAAAAAAAAATAGTTGCTTGGAGTAACAAGAACAATCTGTAGAAATGCAGAAAAAGGCATGGAGAGAATGGTAGCATCTTTTTTCTAATTCACTCCATTTCCAGATCCCAACAAAACTCACAGAGACAAGGAAAATGAGTTAGTTGCATAGTTATGGCTTTAGTCTATAACTTGCATTAGGTCAGTGGTTCTCAACCTGTGGGTCGGGACCCCATTTGGGGTCGAACGACCATTTCACGGGGGTCGCCAAACAACGCAGTCTGCCATTTTTTCCCCCTTTTCCTTAGCTGTGCTACTCCCTTTTATTCTATCGGCTTTTGAAAGCCAATAGAGTAGACTCTCTTGAATAGAGTCTAATTCTATTGGCTTTCAAAAGCCAATAGGAATTGTCCAGGCTGTCTCTGCCCTGCTGAGCCTGCCAAAAGTCCCATTCTGCAAACGGTGCTGCACCAGATGAGTAGTCCTCGACTTACAACCGGATGAGTAGTCCTCGACTTATGACCGGTTGGGGGTCGCGGCATTAAAAAGGTTGAGAACCACTGCATTAGGTGATTCTGCACTAATCTGCAGAAATGTTTTACTGCAGTGTTTCTCAAGTTAGTCACGTTAAGATATGTGGACTTCAACTCCCAGAATTCTTAAAGTGGCTATGGAGAAATACTGTTTTACTGCTTTACAGTTACTTTAGTTTCTGGTCTATCTGACTTCTCAGTATAGATCTAAAGAGATACCTGTAAACGTATCCTTCTATTCTAAATGAATTAAGCACTAAGCATAAACAGCTAAGTAGGAATTCCAAGCCAGTTTTGTTCTTTCAAAGCAATAACTACTTTTCAAACAATTCCTCCCAATTTAAAATTATCCTTCCAATGCTTTGCTATAAAGAAAGTTATGCTTAAAAGAAAACTAGGAAAAATCCCCCATCCAAATTTTTTTTGCACACGGTAAAAATACTGGAATGTAAACATAAGATACTGTACTTGTCCACTTGAGTCTGCAGCCTGCTGGAAGTGGGTGGCTAAAGACGTTTCATCTTGGAAAACTTCATTGCATTCCAAACACTTCAGACTATGCCTGCACAACTTCGAAGAGTCTTCATCTAGAGGCATGGCTGGTGGAACAGGAGTACTTGAAGGAGCTGATATAACTGTCCCAGTTATGCCGGACTGTATCTTGGTTATGGTGTGGGTGCCCACTCCAGTGGAATTCTGAAGAATGGATGATGTAATAGAACTATTACTTGTGGGAGAAGCTATCATCTGATCGGCAGGAACTGGCTTCAAAATCAAATGAGAACACTGCATCACCACCCCTTTCTCTTTGTGACTCCGAGCATGAGAAAGAAGGCTGCATTTGTTATAGAAAACAAGGTTTTTTGTGCAGTGGTTACAGGTGACTTCGATCCGCACGCTCCTCCTATCGTAGTGTTGGGTCAGACTTTTTTCAAGGGCGAAGGCGTCACCACATTCCAAACACTTGTAACCACGTGTAGGTAAAGTGATGCCTGCATTTATAGGAGGACTAAGATTTGGGATGTAAACTGGGACAGGGTTAACACTGCTGAGCACCTTGTTAAAAGCTTCAACGACAGAGCTCTGTAAAGATGACACCACCTGAACCCGAGACACTTTTTTCGAAGGCTGAGAAGCTGCTGCAGAAATTATTGCCTGCTTGATCTGTTGTTGAGGTTTGGTGAGCACTTGGCGGAGTTCAGAGGGGGTCTGAGCACTTTGAGGCAGTAGATTAAGGTTGGCAAGATGGACTGTCTTTGGCACAAGTTTCGCACTGGCAAGGCTCGAGGCGGGCACCACAACCGTTTGCTGCTGTATAGCATTGGCGGCTTTGATGATGGCACTGCTGGCACTTTGCACCGAAGCAGCGGATATGACGGTGGCTTTCACCGTGGTGTTGTTTGCAAGTTTCAGATTGATCACCTGTGATCCTGCCGTCTTGACAGCCGATACGGGAAGAAAAGCCGTTGCCACAGGCTTAATGGTGACTTGTTTGGGAGTGAGTTCTGCAGAAGCCACAGCGTTGGTGACCACTGTTGATTGGAGAGGTGCCCTGGGGGGAGAAGAAAGAACTGCAGCAGAAGTTGGGGAAGATAGCAACGATGTCACAGAAGCCACCATGGAAGCTGTTTGCTCTGATTTCCTACCACTGTCCAAATCAACTTCAGGCAACACACGTGTGACCGTTCTCTTGATCTCCCCTGATGATGTCTTGATGGTTTTGATGCGCACTTTTGGGATGGCTGGTGTCGAGCCCGCAGGTGATGGTGGAGAACCTTTGCTGCTGTTTTCACTTGATATACTTCTGGGACTGTCAGGTTGTTTGACAGAGGGCTTTTTTGCACAGTCAATGAGACTCTGAGATTCGGGGGATTTATCCACGGCGCGGGGGCTTTCACTGGTCTCTTTCTGCAAAGGAGAAGATTCCCTTGAATTGTATTGTGGGTCTTTACCAGAGTCCGTGGCTGCTTTCTTAGCACTTAGAGCTGCAATTGCAGCAATACAGGAAGAGAGTTTTGCTGATGATTTTGCTTTAGCCTGGGAATGATTGGTAAGAGTTGCTTCTCCTTTTTCCGTATTTATTTTCCCATCAACTACTCTGTTTTCATGTAGTTTCTCGGAATTTTCTTTAAGCAACTTATCATCTATCTTCCTAGCTTTAAAGGGTTCGTAGTGACCTAAAGTTGACGGGTTCGTTTCTGAATCTCTTTTAGACACCTTGGGTTTATCAGAATTACCTGAACCTGCAACTTCATGTTTCATCAAGTTTTCTCCTCCAAGTACTTTTAACTTCTCATAGTCCTGCTGGGAGACGGACCTTGTTAAGACATTTGTTCTGAAGTTTCCACGCAGGTCCTCTTTATCCGGGGGGTCATCAACCTCAATTTTTTCATCGTCATCGAACTCTTCAGCACTTGAGATAGGACTAAATTGGTTAAAGGCAGACTCTTTTAGTGTGTTTTCCGAGATGGAGCCCTCGTCTTTGAGCAATTTATCTTCCTCTTTATTATAACCTTCTAGAGCTGATACTGTTAAAAAACCATTGTGTAACCCATTGCCTGTGGAATGGTGGCTATCTTTCTCCGCTCCTTCAGAGGAATCAATTGTCCGCACATTTTTCACAATGACACTAACACCGACGTCAGATGAGGATGGCGCATGGGAATCATCCTCAGGATGGACATTCTGCTTTATGTGGCTCTCGTGATCCTCGTGGCCAGATTCAATAGCCGCTTTTGGATCAACCATATCTGGTATGTCAAAGGCTGCAAGCAGATCATCAAAGTCTGGAGTCTTCATATCTCCCATGGTCACGTTAGCTTTTTAGGAGTCAATCTACAAAACAAAACAAATATGTTTAATATCAGCACCTTTTGTTCTTTCAAAGCACTATTTATTTATTTATTTATTTATTTATTTATGAGACTTATATACCGCTTTAAGTACAAGCACTCTCTAAGTGGTGTACACCAGTAAGCAATGTATATATATATTTACATTGCCCCCAACAATTTGGGTCCTCATTTTACCTACCCCGGAAGGATGGAAAGCTGAGTCAACCTTGAGCTGGTGAGATTTGAACCGCTGACCTGCTGAACACAGTCAGCTAAAGTGGCCTGCAGTACTGCACTCTAACTGCTGCGCCACCTCGGCTCATCTATGTTTCAAACAGTACCCTACTGAGTTTTTTTTAAAAGAACTTTCATTTTTAAATACATTTTTAAAACTATCAATGGAAATAAAGCTTATGTGGGTTTTTTTTTAACTGACTATTTTTCCAGTCCATTAGTGAATGGTCTAACTTCTGTAATTTTTGTTGAAACTGTATGGAAACTGTTACAATTTTAACTAATCATACCAGAAATATTTAATATACTATACAGATAAAACATATCAGCACTACATCATCAAAATTATCAAAACTACTAATTTTAACTCTATCTAATGAGTTCACCACATTGCATTGAATGAAAAAGATAATTAGCATAGAGTATCTGAATAAAATTACTGTATGCATTTCACTGAAAAATTCTTAGCCATGTTCTTTACTAAGCTTAATATTTTAAAACAGTATCACAAATTTCTATTAAAACATTTAACTCAAACTCAGTACTCAATACTCAGGGTAGCTCAATTTGTTCAGCATCCTAACACAAAAAAGGGATATATCTAGGGATATGAGACAAGACAATATCTATTGGAGAATCATAATTATAATGTCTGATCTGTACAGGAAAAAAGGTTCAGGAGAAAAATTCCTACCAGAAACAGAAATTAGTACAATAGTTCTAAATAAGTATATTCAGGGTCCAATGAATACCAAAGAAAGAATGACAATGTAAGTATGTTCCAGTAATGGGACAAGAATTCTTGAAAGATATTCCTCTGTCAAATAAAGTGGGGGGGGGAGATTAATTTGTATGTACCAAATCCTTCTTACACTACATACAAAAATGGAAATTATGTTTAATATGGATGCATTCAAATTATACCAACATATCCACAATGAAAAATATATAATTCTCCATGCTGATGACATAAAAATAAGATATAGCTAGCTAGCTAATCAAATGAAGCTTATACAGAATAACTTAATATATGCACATGTAAAAACGCACCACACATCCAATGATAATTTAATTTTAGGATTATATGACCAATTTCAAAAGTCAACCTCAGTAGTGGGCAGCAATGGGTTAAGTACAAAGGAAAAGGTTTCCCTGTCCAGTCATGTCCCACTCTAGGGTGCAGTATTCATTCTCTGTTTTTTGGGCAAGGGAGCCAGAAGACAATTTCTGTGGTCATGTGGCCAGCATGGCTATACACCAAAGGCACATGGAACGCTGTTCCATCAAATGCTATCTATTAATTAACTATTAATCTAATTGCTGTTAACCTTCATACAAATTTGGCTACAGCCATCTTCACTTTGTTTTGGTTGCCACAGTGATGGGAGGGGGGAGATGTATTTTCTTAGCTTAGACATAACAATAAATTGTTCTGTGGGAACCAAGGTCAAGGTGCCTAAGTTTTGGAGGGCTAAAGTTACCATTAGAAAGCCCACCAAAATAGTTAATTGGGGATTGTGATTTATGTTATACTGCAGGGGTGGAGAGTTCAACTTTTTACTTTGTAACCGTGTGGAGGGGAACTTTCAGTCTTGGTTTCACCTTTGTTCATGCCGATACTATGTAGCCAATAAATGTGTTCTTTGAGGAAAGCAATTGCCTCGGAGTTCTTATTTCTACTGGTCTCATCTATTGGAACCATGACATTTGCACTTGTATGCTTTTGAACTGCTAGGTATTAAGTTGTTGTTGTTAATTGCGAAGTCATGTCCGACCCATCGCGACCCCATGGACAACGTTCCTCCAGGTCTTCCTGTCCTCTACCATCTTCTGGAGTCCATTTAAGTTCACACCTACTGCTTCAGTGACTCCATCCAGCCATCTCATTCTCTGTCGTCCCCTTCTTCTATTGCCCTCAATCTTTCCCAGCATTAGGCCCTTCTCCAGTGAGTCCTTCCTTCTCATTAGGTGGCCAAAGTATTTGAGTTTCAACTTCAGGATCTGGCCTTCTAAAGAGCAGTCGGGGTTGATCTCTTCTAGGACTGACCGGTTTGAACGCCTTGCAGTCCAAGGGACTCGCAGGAGTCTTCTCCAGCACCATAGTTCAAAGGCCTCAATTCTTTGGCGCTCAGCCTTTCTTATGGTCCAACTTTCACAGCCATACATTGCAACTGGGAAAAACCATGGCCTGGACTATACGCACTTTTGTTGGCAGGGTGATGTCTCTGCTTTTTAGTATGCTGTCTAGATTTGCCATAGCTTTCCTCCCCAGGAGCAAGCGTCTTTTAATTTCTTGGCTGCAGTCCCCATCTGAGGTGATCTTTGAGCCCAGAAAAATAAAATCTGTCACTACCTCCATTTCTTCCCCATCTATTTGCCAGGAATTGAGAGGGCCGGATGCCATGATTTGGGTTTTCTTAATGTTGAGTTTCAAGCCAACTTTTGCATTCTCCTTCTTCACCCGCATCAAGAGGCTCTTTAGTTCCTCTTCACTTTCTGCCATTAGAGTGGTATCATCTGCATATCTTAGGTTGTTGATATTTCTCCCGGCAATCTTAATTCCAACTTTTGATTCATCTAGCCCTGCCTTTCTCATGATGTGCTCTGCATATAAGTTAAATAGGCAGGGCGACAGTATACAGCCTTGCCGGACTCCTTTTCCAATTTTGAACCAATCAGTGGTTCCGTGTCCAGTTCTCACTGTTGCTTCTTGACCCGCATATAGGTTTCTCAAGATACAAATGAGATGGTCTGGTACTCCCATCTCTTTAAGAACTTGCCACAATTTGTTGTGATCCACACAATCAAAGGCTTTTGCATAGTCAATGAAGCAGAGGTAGATGTTTTTCTGGAACTCCCTAGCTTTCTCCATGATCCAGCGTATGTTGGCAATTTGATCTCTAGTTCCTCTGCCTCTTCGAAATCCTGCCTGTACTTCTGGTAGTTCTCAATCCACATACTGCTGGAGTCTAGCTTGTAGGATTTTAAGCATAACTTTACTAGCATGCTTAAAATGCATTTAAAGCATTTTTAAACCACATCAAGGAGATAACTGCAATGCCAGACCAAGATTTGGCAAAACATTTCAGGTATGAGTGCCAAAATATCAAATACTAACAAGGGTGAAACCCTTGCAAAATCTTTTGCAAACATGGTGAGGTATTGGCAATGCCTGGAATCTCATACATTCACAGTATCTTGAAAACCTGGATGTTTTCATTTGAGATTTGCAAAATTTGCCTGCTCTTGCTATTAAAAATAGTTTATATGTATTTAAATTGGGGGTTCCATAGACATGATCATGCGTTGGGAGAATCTCTAGTTCAGAGGTCTTCAAACTTGGCCCTTTTATGACTTGTGGACTTCAACTCTCAGCGTGTTGGCTGAGGAATTCTGAGAGTTGGTCCACAAGTCATAAAAGGGCCAAGTTTGAAGACCCCTGCTTAGTTGATGATCTCTGCTATAAACCAGAGGGAACAAATGGTGTTTGGAGATGAGAACAGTGCTGGCATTTCAAAACATCCCACTGTAAAACCTCAGGCACATTTAAAATTTTGCTTAAAAAAATCCCTGTTTCAAACTAATCATAATCCACCTTAATCATAAAGTTCAGTCTAATGTTAAATCAAAATACTGTAGAAGCAAAAATAGCTGGTAGGGAAGAAATATGAACAATCAGTTTATCTCCTCTCTTTCTCTTTTATCTTTATAAATTGCAGCTTATTACGCTCAAAGCACCTACTGTGGTAAACAAGTTGCTAGTAATTCAGTGTAATTTTAAATTGACTTGGCAAGATTATTTGAGCAACCTATTTATATCTGAGTTATAAACATCTGAATATCATAGGCAAAATGAAGAGTTGAAATGGAACGAACAGTTTACATACCAGGTGACTCAAAAATCTTATTAACCGCAAATTATGAGGCTCAATTTATCCACCACTCCTTCTTGCTTTATCCAAATTTTCCATTACAATATCTAAGAACAAAAATATTTCCTCCAATATTTTTTGCCTTTTTATTGAATGTGCTCTCCCCACATTAGGTATACTGACAACACTAATTCGTAACCTTGAAAAACTGAAAAAAGACTCCAGTCAGTTTGCAATGCTGCAGTGGATATGTAACTCACTCTCTCCAAATATTATTGCAAAACAGAGATTATCATAATTACATTTACTGAAGGATGGTCTCAGTATAAATGCCAAAAATATAAAATAACCCATCAAATAAAATCCTTTTATATACCCACATGCTAGTCATTTGCATGCATGTATATTAAGGCTGTGCGGCAGTTTAGATCCAATTCCAAACATTGTACCAATGGCTGCAAAGGGCACTCATCTGAGCACAATTCATTTAAAGAGTTTGAGACACATATACTATGTTGAGGAATCGCTTTTTCTGAATCAAATCCAAAACACTGTACAGGTAGTCCTCGACTTACAACAGTTTGTTTAGTGACCTTTCAAAGTTGCAACATCACTGAAAAAAGTGACTTATGACCATTTTTCACACTTACGACTGTTGCAGCATGTGATGAAAATTCAAATGCTTGGCAACTGACTCGTATTTATGACAGCTGCAAAGTCCCAGGGTCACGTGATCATCTTTTGCGCTCCTCTGACAAATAAAGTCAACCGGGAAACCAGATTCACTTAACAACCTTGTTACTAATTTAAGACCTACAGTTCGTTTCGTGACCTTTCAAAGTTGCAACATCACAGAAAAAAGTGACTTGTGACCATTTTTCATACTTACAATTGT